GACCTGCATGTTGCACTTCCATATTGAATACTGACGTTCTTCCTCCTAGGTGCTGAACATCTATCGTCAACTGATCCCCCAGTTTAACGAATTCATCGGACAGATGGACGCCCAGGATCAGGCGGCACTGAAGGCAAACTATGCCATATAGCGAACCAATGTTCGAGGTCCTAAGAGCGGCCAGAGGTCATTATTCTGGGTTCAGCCCTGTCAAGGTCGATGCAACCAACCTTCTTCAACAACGCCTCCTTCCCGTAGATAGCTGTCCATCTTTGGAATCATTATACCCTTGGCTCTTTGGTCAAACCCTACTACTACTCTAGAGCTAAGGCACAACGATGAGAGAAGGGCTTTTTGTTTGTATTTCTCTCACCACAAACGCCTTTCTGCGACTTTCAATTTTCCGCTGGAATAATTTAGGGCGATAGTGACTGGACTCACCGACCTGGCAGGAGAGCAGGTGATAGGCGAGGGGAAGAAAGAAGGAGCAAAAACTTATTTATTTAGTTATCGCAAGAAGTTCAGCTTGGTGGTGACAGACAAACACGCGTGTTGTTAGTAATCTTTGTAATCCCGAAACGACAACCAATGGCTGGGATACTTCATGATCCTGGAATTTTAAACAAGACTTAACGACGAAAGAAAAGTTATGAGCGGGGGATGGTTTGTGGGCTGCGGCAGTGGTGGTGGGTGCAGTGGTAGCAGTGGTGACAACAGCGACAATGTTGGGTGGATGGTTATGGAGGTTTGAACCATCATTGCCGGTACTAGTAGCCAGCTACTTACTACTTTTACTTACCTCGATTGTCTACCATACCTTCATCAGGCTATGTCTAGCCAGACAACACCAACAAAAACAACGACGAGCAGGCCCAACGCAGGTAGCAGGCAAATGGGCATGAAGAAACGGACTCACTCCAGCTAGCATTAATGGAGACGATGGACATCCTTAGGTTATCTCTTTCTGAAGCAGTAGCCGATCAAGTGGATTTGGGATCAGTATATTTGAGCGAACTGATTTACGAAGACTGAGCCGGCGTGGAGGTGATGCTGGCTGGTATCGGTAATATTCAATAACGATAATGGGGCCTCGCCGTTTCAATACGCATGGAATCTTGTAGATAAATAGGTAGGTAGATAGATGCTGCGATTTCAGATAGAAGAGACATAGTACGAGCAATAAACAGCGTTTGTGGGGGTTTGTTTGGTTTTTGGTTGTTCTGTGCTTGGTTTGGTTTGAACTTCCTTCAGACTATGGATGAAATCAGTATCATGTCAAAGGGTTCTTTTATTTCTCCTTTTGCATTGATGGAGACGTTATTACCGTCAACATTCCTCGTCATTTTCAGTCTCTCGTAGATGGACACAAAATTTACTTTGCTGTCTTCATATATGCGACTTCTTGGTCGAATATCATTTGAATATCTTTACGATGAAGGCGGTGGGTGGTCGTTTGGAGTCCTATGTATATTACATCAATGGTATCGCGAGGTACCCTAGCTAGTAGCATAAACATCACATCACCATACACTGATCGTTGAGCACATTTTTTGGCCTTCCAGAAGTCTAATTTCCAGGCGCGTTTACCAACCTGTATGGCCAGCTTAAGCTACAAAACTCTGGTTCGCGCACTCATAGAATATCCATACAGCCCTGTAGGCCGAGCCCAGAACTTCTTCCATGTTTATTATTGTTGTTTATGTCCTCCACACCCCCAGCCACTTCTTTCCAGCTCCGTCTATTGGTCAAGCAAAAGATTGGGAGGATGGTACAGGGAGGCAGCAGCACAGCACAAGACAGCACAGCGCAACGCGACGCAACGAAACACAAAAAATGTGTATGTAGCGCACAGCATGTCGGTCGGTCCGTCCCTCCGTCCTCGCCTTTGGAAACAGAGCATCCGATTTGGCTTGATGATGCAAAATGGGGAAAGAAGGATTCTTTTCTTGATGAAGAAAGAAAGGAGGAAGCACAAAGGGGGTGGTGGAGACGACAATAAAAAGGAGAGGAATAGTACTGAGGTACTGGAAACGCAGCCAAGATACCACAATGATAACTGACCGCCATCACGTCCAGTGTACTTCAGCAGAGGGAGTAAGGAAAGTAAAACAGTCTCCGGTCTTTCCGTTGGGTCACCCACACCCCCTTTATTCTCTCTATCTCTCTTCCCCTTCGTGCTTCCTTGCCCGGCCACTTGTTCTGCGTTATTCATCTAGCAGTCAGATCCCCCCTGTTTCTGTTAGCAAATCTAGCAGGAACACGAGATGCCTTTCGTACCACGACCAATAACATGATAATGATATCAACGTAGCCATGGCTCGACTAGGGAGCATGCCGTGTGTGTCCGTGTGTGTATGTGTGTATGTGTGATGAGCTGTCCTTCCCTCCCCCCCTTATGTCAAATTGCAGATAGAAATTCTCCAATGGGGATGGCAACAAGCTTGTGTCCATCGAGAACCTGATACTCTGGCTAGTCGTGTGATGGATGGAGAAGCATGTACAGACGAGGCGTTTGTTTCTCGATACATCCTTCTTTCGTCTCCCCCCCTTCTCGGTTTTTCATGAACCCGTGGCCAAGGACACCAATTTGTGCTGGTGTTACAAAAGGGGAGATTGAATAGGAACAGTGCCTGATCATGGATGAATAAGAACCTGCGCTTCTTGATCAGTTGATTCTGTTGCCAAGGGTACTAATGATGAGGAAAATCTGGAAAAGATAGACAGACAGACATTTGCTTTCACCACTAGTGTCGCCACCGCCGTCACCGGCTTGTCAAAGCCACGCGCGCTACAGTTCGTCAGGCACTACCATCAAAGTCTGGCAAGTATCCTTTTAAATGAGGAGTGAGAAATGTGGGCGGGCAGATAATAATTCGGAAGATGTGATATTCATTCGGCGATTTTCTCTGCAAAAGCACACTCGCCACTATCATTAACCATCAGATATAGCTTCACGTGGAATATCTTCAGCCTCACAGAGGCAAAAGATACGCTTACTCTACACAGACTTTTGATCTGTGTAAGAAACAGCCGGGCCGTCTGGCCAAACCACGCTGTTCATGCGACGTAGTAACTTTGCTGCCAAGGTCGTAACATGTACCACAGACGGTCCAGCGTGAGGGCGGTGAGAGCAGGTGTGAATGATCAAAAGACAAATCAAATAAATAAAAATAATAAAAATGTCATTTTTATTCTAGATAAAATGTCAATAAATTCAAACCAGTTGTCGCACGCCGGTGTATGCGTCCAGGTGGAGTGTATGTACAGATCTATCATCCCCCCTTTCATGAGTCAATATCGACAAAGTTTCCCATACTGTGTGGTTTTTTGCTGTTGCCCAAGTAGCCGTGGCCGAACAGCCGTAGCCGAGTAAGCCATAGCCATAGCCAGGACGTATACGTTGCCAGTTGATAGGCTGGCATATTCTTCTCCAAGAGGCATGTTGCATGTACTAGTCTAGTAGTTGTGAACGACAGATGCTGCACTGACAGTTGCAGCCGCCCGCTTTCAAAGGATCACCAACTGCGCCGCCGCGTTCCTGCTCTCCCAACGACATGCCGCCAAGGCCAAGCAAAGGGCGTTGCTGCAATATATCGAAGCCGTCGGTGAGTCAGCACAGCCTACTAGCATGTCGCAAGGACTATACCCCTTGAGGTAAAAAGGGCCCCTTGTTAGTGTGAAGATGTGAAGATGGGCGTGAAGATTGGACGGGTCCGAAGGCGGGAGCGAAGTGACGCCGCCAAAGTGGCTGAGCAGCAGCAGAGCTGATGTCCATGTCACCATGTGAGATGGACTCGGAGAAGAAAAAAAGAAAAGATTGGAGGGAAATCACGCAAGAGCCTCTGACCCAGGTTCGCGGGTCCTGCGGCCTGCCTGCCTGCCTGCCTGCCCCCAAGTGGTGTACGGCTGTCTGTCTGTCTGTCTGTCTGTTGTTCATGCAGTAATGGCGTCGGTTGTCGGTAGATTCTATTGTTATGGCGGCCCCGTCTGGCCACGGCGCACGCACTGATGGTGCCCCCGATTGGGTCGCCCCATGCAAAGAAAAAAGGTACTGTCTGTCAGTTCCCGCCTGCATCATGGCCGCCCTCCGAGACCGCTAGGGGGAAGAAGTGAATACGGTGACTAAGATTAAGCGAAAAGGAAAAAGAGCAAAAGGAAGGCCCAGTTGAGCATTCACTAAGGAAAGCTACACGTTCAGGCAAGCGGTGAGAGGGGTTAGGGTTTATGACATCCCCATGTCATGTTCCAACGGGCGGGAAGGAAGCGAAGAATTACGGGCTAAAAAAAGATGAAGATTCGCAACGGATGGGCTGCGACTGCCGTAAGCCAACCAACTGACGTCCCCACATCCCCCATTAACCTAATTCTACCTAACAACGTCTCAAGCGCCCAGACGCCTCTCGTGTTACACAAGAATTCTTCGGGCCGCCCGCCTTGCTACCTTCCTAGCCTTCCTAGCCTTCCTAGCCTGCCTCGCCAGCCCCAGCCCAGCGAGCATGGGTTAATCATTATGGACGTCGCCGCATTTCTACATTTGGGGGCCATAAATCACAGGAAAGAAAAAAAACCTATAGCAATGAACTTGCACGAGATATCGGTACCTTCTTGATGTTACCAGTTCGTTCAACCGTCCACTCTATGTGCAAAAAATAAAGAAACTAAAGCACTCCAACTATCTGTTTCCTTCCTTCTCAACATTTCTGTCTAGTGAAGAGACGATATGTGCTTGCATGAGATGTGATCATCTGACACATTGCAGAGTTGCGCAGCGATATATGTACGTAGTAGTACTTTAGTGTTGTAGTCTTGCACCAAAAAATGAAAGAATGAATAAGCCCTTTACAGTAAGTAACTGAGAGGAGGATTTGGGCCAAAAAATAACGATGCAACCATTACCATGTTTACTTTACACCCATGAGTGCTCCGACAACAAAAAGTGATCGATTCACCGGCAATCTGACTTGCCACTGGATCATTATGGAAATATCCACATATTATTCTGGACGAGCTGGGAATCGAACCCAGGACCTTTCGCATACAGGATAGTATGCTAAGCGAACGCTCTACCAACTGAGCCACACGCCCTGAAGAGGATATCCTGTTGATGAGTAGCGGGCCCGCGTGTCCACACTATGATGACGCTTGGTTCTCTTCCTTCTCTTCCTTCTCGAAAAAGGAAAAGATCGTTAAGGTGTTATGTGTGTTTTCTCGCTCTTGCCCATGACCCCGAGACGCAGTTGCGGGTAGATCCGGATCCTTCTCCGCCGTAGGCGAAATACCGCCCGGCGAAGCTTCTGGAGGCTTGGCTGGCTGCCCGGAACATCTGCTGACAGAGGGATTCAACTGACAGAATGAAACGTAGCAAAGATCAGCGAAGGAAGAAGTAATCATCTTTTGGACAGAGGGAGAAAGACCAATGGCAGTTGTCTATTTGTCAAAAGTACAATGGACGGTGGGATCACACGTAAGTAAAATGTGGAAATATGTGACAATACGTAGGAGGAACAGCGCAGAATGGCCGAAGAAGGACCAACAGTGTTTTGCTAGTCTTATTTACGGTCATGCTGTCCAGCCCTGCAGAGAGAGAGAGGTCTAGATTTAGGTTCTTGCAACTTGCAGGGGGTGGGTGGCATGTTGGTGAGTGAATAGGAAGCAAAGTCTTGTCTTTTGTTAAATTTTGTTCAGTTAATAGTAAAGACAGTAGAGTAGCATCGTATAGAGAATATGTAGAATGTTGTAGAAAATGGCCTGACGTTGCCTATTTTACTGTCTGTCTGAGGCGTATGAAATGTAAGACGCAATACATTTCTTTAGTAACCGGATAATGAGACCGACGTTGTCCCAAATAAGAGGCAAAATATAACTTGAAAGTTATGTTGCCTCTTTTGCTTGTTAGACGTGCAATGATGTTTGGGCGTCGTTGATAGTAGATATGTAGCTATATTGATGTTATCTGCTGTTCAAACAAAACACGGAAACGGGGGCGAGCCACTAGTCTTCCTCTATCGAGACGTCCATGCATCCATCCCTCCAACACCACTTGGTTCCTCGCACATGTGGCACAAAAGGGATATGATGTTTCGTACTGGGTAAAGAACCGTACAGTCAAACCCCGGGGCAGGTAACAGTGATCCATACAGACAGATAGAACTGCTAGGTAGTTGGTAGTGAAGTCAGGGGTATGGGTAAAGATAAATTGGCTGTTTCTTCACCAGCATCATCATCCACTTGGAAACCAGCTCATGGCCTGATCATGATAACACAAGTGTATTATCTTGATGTACTAGCAAGTGCTTATAGATAGGGGCATTGGCGGACGAAAACAGAATATCGGATTGTTTCCTGTTCTTAATATTGCAAAGTTACTCAGCAGCATGCAATGTGCAGTTTCTGAATAGATGTATGCGAGGAACAGAGTCATACATACCCGGATATGATAGTATGCAGTTCAGGGATAGATGGAAATGCCATCTGATGTGGAAAGAAGAGGAGATCCTCATTGGTGCAGCCCCTTTTCTGGGCGCGTCCACCGCTCCCCCTTCTTCTTTCCCATGATTTCCTCTCTCCAGGTTTTCGTCCTTCACCGCGGTTTGAGGTCTGACGAGACTATTTCCCGACACCCCTGTATATATGCATGTTATGTCGAGCTTGCTGTCAGTTGAGTGACCTCAGATGTTGTGCTATGAAATAAGGGTTTCTGCTGGCGGTGTCTGGCTATCGCGGACCCGGGACCGGACCCGGGATAGTGAAAAACAATAGAAAGGGGACCACAGTATACTTGGGGTCATGATGAGTATTTGGCGCGCGCTACTAAGCCGCGTCTAGTCAGAATGACAGACGGGAGCAGTGAGATTCGTCCTCTTCTTGGCACATGTAGTTGATTGCTTTCCCAGGGTGACACAGGAGAATGCGATTCCCAGCAGCACCAACGCGTTGTTTGGGTCACAGGACAGGCAGACGTGGACAAAAGCAACATGGATTATTCTAGTTGCTGGTTGTTCAAGTTGCACAGCAGAAAGTGTGCCTGCCTGCCTGTCTCGTCCTGTACGTCGGGCTTTGAACTCACCTCATATCGTGCTTCCCTATCTCGTCATGTGCGCATAGTTAACAAGCTCGGGCGTATTAAAAGCTGATGGGGGACGGATGAGGCGGGCTGGGCTGGGCTTTGAGCCTCCTTTCAGGGTCATCGTCATCTCATCACATGGTCCAGTCAGTGCCTTTCCCTTTCTTTCCTGATTGGGACCTGGACTATATTTAGACGACCACCTTACTGCGTATGGTGAGCTTGATGCATTCGTCACCCTTTGAACGGCAAAGAGATACCGAACGGCCCACAATTGGCTTTGTCGAGGGCAAACCATTGGGCCCCCATCTATCGGGCTCCGATCCAACAGACCGGGACAGAGCAAGTCGTCATTGCCAAATCATGCAAGGATTTTTTGTGCTTTCTTTAAGCTTCTCACTGGTATACCGTAATCGACGTGGGCAGATTGAGGGGTAAATTATTTCCTAGGGAAAGAAAAAAAAACCAGAAAGGAAATAGAGAAAGAGACAAAACAAAACTCCCTATGAGCTTATTACTAATGGTCATGATAGCTCCCATGCCTCGATCCCCAGACACTCGAGGGTTTGAAGCATCTGGACATACTCGGCAATGGACAATGTCGAAGAGAGCAACCGCATACATTGTGGTTGGCCCGCTGTGCAGCTCACCGCCTCTCGAAAGATGTTGACAGTGAAATGGGTAGGTAGGCTGCTGGCATGCCAAACTATTTCACCTGTTCAACGACACACAGCATCATCTATCTGGACTAGCGCGGAACGATGCATCTGGCTGAGTGAAAGTCGGCCCTGCGATCTGATCGGCTTGCAACGCAGTCGGCCGTGCAATTATCCGCTGCTTATCAACATCCCCGACCGTGTGATAATAACCAGTAACAGTGACCAGTGTGTACTTTGCAGTCTCCGTTTTGGCTCGGTAGAAGGATTATCATCCTGGAGCATCTTATAGGATTTCCGCGATTGGTGGTGGTCGTCAAGTCCGCTGAAGAAGCCGTGGTGACAGGCCACTACATGCTTTGTCGCTTGTCCTTGACTCCTTGTCAACGCTTTGTCTTGGCTGGTGGGTATTGGTGTTTATTCGATGGGGTTGCCGCGGTTAGCTGTCAGGCAGAAAAATAAGAACCTCTGGTAGATCTAGGGCAAACCCGCCATGGCAGCTAAGGTACATTTAGCTGGTGTAAGTGAGCTTGAAGTGCACCAAGGTTCTTGATTGTGCGGGAGGTTAGTCAGCACCACAAAAAACCCCAACTTGAGTTAAGGTAAGGTATGGCTTGCTGCCCTCGCTGCCTCGCTACTGCTGGCGTTGTCCGCAATCCGTCCCAGAAGGTGGAACGTTGTATCGTGTGAGCCATGTGCGCGCGTGGCTGTCATGGAATTGGCCAAGACTGTTGTGGGCTGCGCATAACCCAACAAATACCAGAGCATACTGTAGTGTGTTCAGTAGGGCGTAGTGTCGCTGTCGTCCATTGTCTGCAAGTTGTCAGTGGCCGGCTTTTTCTCGGTCGGATGTGGCAATCCCAGACCTGGTCGAGTGGGGCAAATTGAGCGGCACTAGGGCAAGGGTGGTGGAGAACAAATGTTTATCTTCAAGAATAGAAACAGTCTAGGCTGAAAGAGGGCTAGCCGCAGAATATCGATTGGGTATGGATGAGCGCCTCTTTCGGAGGAAACGAGAGCCAATGCCAGACTTGCCAGTCGACACACATTACGTCGGTGTCAGTGCCAGTGTGCCGGTGGGGCTGTGGTCGTGAAGTCACCGAAAGTGAAGTGAGTGCCATTGAGAATTGGAGATGGAGTGACAGCTAGCCAGTCAGCCAGCCTCCCAGCGAACAGCTTCTCCAAGCCCGCTTCTCCACACCATCAAGTGCGGCACAGAGCCCTGAGCTGTCCCCTGCGATGGGATATGGAAGACGCTATACACATACACGACAGGCTGCACTGCATGGGATGCAGCACATACACAATATACACTGCGTCCCAATCTGTGAATGAATAGGCGAGCAATGTGCCGGGGAGCGGTGAGCACTTTATCTGGCTGGGCTAGCTGAGGGATCATGGATTCATGGTCAGGAGTTCATTTGTCCATCATGCAGCTCTAAGTCTCAATAGAGAGCTTTTGCCGGTAGCTCAGGTCTTCACCTCACACCGAGGCAAGGGGACAAGGTCAGAGAAACTCAAACTGAGGGACCAGAAAGAGGGTGGCAGCCAATGATGAAGGGTGTTGAGAAGAGGGGGAGAAGGAGCAACGGAGCAGCGGAGCAATAGAGCTGTGCGTGCAGTTGCATGGAGTTGAGCAAATAGAGGAGTAGAAACGAAACCGAGCATGCGAGGTAAGGTAGGTAGGTGAGCTAATGAAGTTGTGGAGTGCAAGGGTAGACGGCGGGCAGCCAGGCAGCCAAAAATGGACACGAGAAACGGCTGTTTCATCCAACCAGACCCAGTAAATGGACAGATAAAAATCCGATCTACCAGGAATTGGCGACCGGACAAACCAGGGAGCCAGCCAGGGCGCCAGCCAGGGCGCCAGGGTCCTGCACGACACCCATCCAGTGCACCAGTGCACCAGTGCAGGGAGCCACAGTTGGGTACGATAGTGCAGAACGAAGATGCAGAAGACTGCAGAATACAGGTTGGGGTAAAAACTATTGGATTTGCACCTGGGACTTTACCTAGCGCGTTAGTGAGCACAAGCAAAGGCAAAAAAAAAAAGCCCTTGGCGACTGGTGGTGGGGCAGCCCCCTCTCACCATGAGAACGGGACAGAACGGCTGGGAGCCGAGCTTCCACTGAGGCGGAGCCTGGACCCACAAGTGCACTGTCCACCCCACAGGACTGACATTGGCGCTGAGCGTCTGAGTGGATGATTGCCTTCCATCCGTTCCATTCCAGTTCCATTTGGAGCTCGGGCCATCTGGGTGCGAGAAGAGCACCAAGAGCACCTATCCATGTCTACACCACCCTCCTTGCCCCCATAATACGTACCCTATTCCCGACCGCCGAGGTCGTCCTTCCATGAGAAAGCAA